GTAATCTGCTCTTATATATACATACATGAGTAGGGGCTAGATGATTTGACACTACCCACCAGTACTGTAGTCTCTGCACCTACCCTGCGCAAAAGCAGCATGGGCCAGCTAGGTGTCTGTCCCTCCGTGTCAAAGGGGTGCCGCGCCATGCGCCGTGGCGCGTCAGTGCCACGCCCAGATCTGTGGCGTGGCAGCCCGGCCACGTTAACGTTGAACGGCCCTAGTCGCTGTCACGTCGCTGCTCCTACCACGCCCCATGCATGGCGCGGCAACGTGATTTGGCCGCGCCATGCGAATAGGCGCGGCCAAGAGTGTTAGTTTTGAAAAGAAAAAAAATAAACAATGTCATATTTGAAAATAGTTTTAAAAAAGTGTTAAAAATAAAAAAATTCCCACTATACATCACTTCCTGTCAAGTAAACGCACTAAACAACTGAAGCATCCCGTAGTATGTCCATGTTAGTAGCTCAGAGACCTCTCCGTTTTCAATCCTGCTGCAGTCCGCTGATCTTCCCCCACCTGCTCATCTTCTCTCCACATGTGCTGCTATGCCTTTAAAGAATCTGCCTGCCCTTCAGCTCATGACAACACAGCATCATGCAACTTCACAGCGTTACTGCAAGTCAGCGATCACCTCACCAACCGAGCTCTCTAGCCAAAAGCCCACGACCCGAGGAGGACAGGAGGACACGGCGTCGTCGATGGTAGATGAGCGTCGGGGCGGTGGAGGCGCTCAAGGACAAGGCCGGGCCTCTGCCGCTGGAACTACACACTGCAGTTCGTCCACCGGCCGGGTCTCCAAGGCCAACGTGCGCAGCTTCGTCGCGCAGGCCAACTGGCGCCGGCGGAGAGGAGGGGACGAGGAAGTTAAATATGAACTAGCTGCCACCGCCGCTGAAGCCTGAAGGATGCACCAAGCTTCCGTTTCGGTCACGTCTATCCGTGAATCCATCTCCAGGCATGCGAATAGATGCAATCTTCTACTTCAGCATGCCGGCCCAGGCCCAATTACATTAAACAAATTAGTAATTTATTTGTTTTCTACATCTTGCCTTCAAAAGTTCAGTATCATTTTCCTTTTATTCTATCCTTCCCTATCATCAGGTGGATGATTTTCCTAATCCAACAGACATTGTACTATGTTATTATTACCTAATTCTCCAACGTGTGTTCTCCATGTAATAATGTAATATTTGCTATTACATACCTGGTAAGCTCCAGGTGACAACCCAAGCAATGCTCACTTTTGTACACCACTTTTTTCCCCCTCACGTCGTGCTTTTTAGAAGGAACGAATGGTTTGTATTTGCATCATTATTTATTCATAAATAGATTGCTATCTATAGCTTCCACGTGAGTATTTGGATGGTTTCCTGTTCTCAGTCATTGAAGATGGGTGATTGTCTACCATGTTTAAGGTTTCAAGTTAAATATGTTGAAGCCAAAATTATTCAACTATGGGGCATTTTTCTCAACATATGCTGCCTCCATAAATTATATTTCTATATAACACTACAAAATTCCGCAGCAACGCATAGGGGTACCATCTAGTCTAGTTTATGTAAAAGAAAGGGAAACCAAAACAGATGCCAAACACAGTGCATCCGAAGGGCTAAACTACTCACGCGATGCGACAGAGTACAAACACTGCCATGAGTCATCGTTGCCGAGCATGACTGCATAGCAGCGAGCAGCTCCGACTTTCCATGGCAGACCACACGCGACCCACCCTCCGACGGGCCCGAAGCAAAAGGCCGCTACAGGTCATAGTTGCCAAGCTCAAGCATAATGCGAAGAGCAGCTCCGACTTCCTATCTCGATCCCGCGCCTTGCCCCCAGCAGTTGCAGACATTCCAAGTAGAACCCTAGACTTTGAAGAATGGGGGCTCGCCTCGTGTCATCATTGCCAAACCACATCCCCAATGTAGCAGCTCCAACTTCACGCTGCAAGACCCGCCTCCACACGTCAGCCAGGCGTCGAGAAGCGAAGAGCGACCACTAAAGGCGACATCGAAGATGCGATGGATTTCAAACAACGATGCCTTCAAGAAGGGCGCGACGCCGATGGCACCACCGCCGCTCATCCAAGAAATAGACTGGCTTTCACCCTTGTAAGACAATGCAAGAGGGGACTGACACCCCCAGCAGGGGAAATGGTGCCCACAGGCATCACTGTCGCTAAGGCTTTCACCCAAGGAGCCCTCTAGCACAAACGTCGGGCCAAGATGCGAGCCCCATGCCTGCTACCACCGCCGTCGTGGCTGTCCCTGCCTCCCCCCCCGTAAGCCTGCTTCGAGGGGGAATCGACGCTTGGCTCCACGCACCAAGAACAGCACAATGGCGTCGGCCGCTACCCCCCATCGATCGGGCAACGCGCAGCGACCGACTGACTCTACCGCACGTGTAAGACCGCCGCATGCCAAAAGCCGTTGCCGGGTGCCATCGCCGCTCTCTGCCCACCTTTGTTTGTCATTGCCGGCCTCGATCGCCAGAGACCCATGCAGTGCGTGGCCCACCACATGGGCCGCCACCACATGCCCTAAGGCCACCGAATCCGGCCGCCAAAGCACAGGTCCCGGCAACCCTAGCCAGGGCCGCCGCCTCTGCTATGGCTGCCACCCCATGCACCAACCCTTACTTGGGTGCGCCGAATCCAGCCGACAAGGCTCAAGATCCGCCACCCGGGCACCAGATCTCGACCGCCTTGGCACTGGACCCGCCGGTCGGGGGAAAGCAGCCACCACAAGACCATGACTGTGTGGTGGATGGGACGACCCGAGGAGATAATTTAACCATCTTTGCTATTATGAACGACAATTTAAAATAACTCTCTAAATTTACAATTAGAATATAGACCTCGGCCATTATAAAAGATAATACCCTTAAGTTTGCATTCAAATTACCAACACATGCTGTTATGTATGATCCATACGATATATTACCCATCATTGCTATTATGTAAAAAAACAACCTAAAGTTTAACACATGAATCTAATATTTAAATTAGCCACCTATCTAAAGTGAGCCTAAATTTACATCTAATTATCTACCTACTATTATGATAGCTAATCTACCTTAAAACTACATCTGAAGTTTATCAAAGATAATTGAAAATAACCTGTTAATTTTTTTTCAGTAGATTATTTACTAATTGGAGGCCGGTCTCCACGTTAGTTCTCACCAGACGCTAGAAAAAAAAAAGATAAATATTAGAAATTCTCAAGTTAATCGAAACATCATCGGCCATTAGACGCGAAGACTCGGAACAAGGATATCCGTTTGACTTCCGTTCTGTTGTTTTCATCTATGGAAACATGGTTCAAAAGGAACTCCTAAATTTGCACCTAAACTATAAATGTTTGTAAGTATGAAAGATAATTCAAAATAACCCCCTAAATTTTCTCTTAATGAACCAACTTTGCTACTATGAAAGAAATTTGAAACAACCATCTAAATGTATAACTAGAATATAGATCTCAGCAATTATGAAAGATAATTTAAAATAATATACTAATAGTTTTTATAAGTTATCCACCTCTACCATTATGAAAGATGATACAATGTACCCCCTGAGTTTATAATCAAATTACCAACATATGTTGTTGTGCAAGATCTATTTCATATATTACCCATCTTTCCTATTGTGTAAAACAACATGAACTTTAACCCTTGAATCTATATTTAAATTAGCCACCTATCACAAGTGAATCCAAATTTAGATCTAATTATCTATGTACTATTATGATAGATAATCTACCTTAAATCTACATTTGAATTACCATTGTTGTCAATATTCAGAACAACAATTATTTATGCTAATGTTTGAACTAAATGCATGTTCATAATACACAGAGGTGGTTATCATAACTAGATAGAGTCTACATAGTATCTATCATGTCTATTGTGTTGGAAAATGAACAATGTGAAAAACGTGTTATTTAATACAAGTATTTTTTATTAGTTAGAAATATAAAATAGTAACTAATATGTGAGATGGAATAGGAAAGACAATATTAGACATAGCACCACAAAATAATAAAAAACTTTTTTTTTATAAACAAATAGAAGACAACTATTTGATTGCATGTCTCTCGTAGCTTGACTTTGTAACCAAGTATTTGGCTCTCATCAGTGACCTCGCTCTAATAAGCCGGTGTTCAGTTCAAAAATACTTCCCAAAAAGTGCTACAGTATCTGTTACATCGAATCTTGCGATACGTGCATAGAGCATTAAATGTAGACGAAAAAAACTAATTGCATAGTTTGGTTGGAAATCGCGAGACGAACGTTTTGAACCTAATTAGTCCATGATTGAACACTATTTGCCAAATAAAAACAAAAGTGCTACAATACCATGCATGTTGATGACTGTGGAGCCAGCTAGCAATTTGTCCTTTGCGGTATGGCTGGATGGTCCCTTTCACCACCACAATGTATGTTCCGTCACTTTCTATGAACAGCTGTATGGGGTCCATTGAAGACAACATGACCCAGGAATCACGAAGAAGCAGTGCCCACCAGCATGCTACAGTGCAAGCTTTGGTCCTTTGGGGGGTCCCGGTCAAGCTACTGGCTGGCACGGAGTAGTGGCACGTCAAGATTGCTCCCTTGCTTGTCGAAGCTTCTCTGGCTTGGAAGTAATCTTTTATGCATGCGTTCTCTTTAGCGGCGCTCAAGATATGTGTTCTATATATATGTAGTACCATAGAGGGAGCGACTGTACATCACTACCGAACTCAGTGGCTTTGCCGAGTGCCAGAAGCTCAATTTATATTTGACAAAGGCTTTGCCGAGTGCTGCACTCGATTGTATTTGTTTCCACGTTGCTTGTTCCATTTTTATTCGTTGCTTTTTCTTCTGCTGCTGCTTCAATTTTTCTTCTTCAATCAGTGGATGAAAGCTGTTTCTGCAATCTAATCTGCGCAACTCTTTTCTGATCTCATGATCCTCATCCACATGTGCTTCGGGAATATCAGTAGTCAGTTGTGACCTTGGGAGCCATGGATTTCGCCACAGGGCCTCTGGGCACCCTGCTTTCTAAACTCGGCCAGCTGCTCCAAGATGAGTACAACCTTCAGAAGGGAGTGAAGAAAGACATCGAGTTCGTCACGAGAGAGCTGGAGAGTATGCGTGCCGCCCTCCGCGATGTCGGAGAGGTGCCACAGGAGCAGCTCAAGGAAGTAGTCAAGATCTGGGCTCGGGATGTTAGGGAGCTCTCCTACGACATGGAGGACATTGTTGACACGTTCCTTGTGCGTGTCCAGGGCTCTGAGCCTCCCAGCAAAAGGAGTGTCAAAAGGTTCATCAAGAAGATGACAAGTATTGTGAGCAAGGCCAAGACTCGCCATGATATCGGCCAAGAGATTAAGGACATCAAGGAGCGTGTCAAGGACGTGGCCGAGCGACGTGACAGGTCAGTGCCGGGACATCACAGACTTTGCGTTCGAATTTCAACAAAATTTTCTCTTATTTGCCTCTTTGTTCTGTTTTTTTTCATCTCTCTACACAGGTACAAGGTTGATGCTATTACTCCTACCAAAACCTCAGTTGACCCTCGCATAACAGCTCTGTACACTAAAGCGGCTAGCCTTGTGGGCATTGATGAGCCAAGGGAAGAGCTGATCTCGATGTTGACAAAGGAAGATGGCATGTCATCGGCTGAACAAAGGATAGTCTCTATCGTTGGCTTTGGAGGACTAGGCAAAACAACGCTTGCCAAAGCAGTACATGATAAGATTAAACCGCAATTCAATTGCACTGCTTTTGTATCGGTGTCACGTGATCCTGATATTATAAAAATTTTCAAGGACATGCTTTATGAGCTTGATAAGAATGAGTACATGGACATTCACAATGCTGCATTAGGTCAACAGCATCTTACTGACGTTGTGCAAGAATTTCTCAAAAATAAGAGGTACGTGCTGTCTTGTGCGCTAGTCCAAATAATCACCGCATGAGTCCATTGGATGGAAACCTCTGAAGATTATTGCACACATGCGTGGTACTGTCAACAGTAAAGTTGTAGGTTCATGCTTGGCTACAGTCGTCAATCAGAAAGTGTGGCGGCGGCTGTGCATGTGTATCTTCTTTCCATTGTAAAATTGCCCATTTACCTTTTTACTTTCAAACCAAATGATTACACAACTGTGGGCATACGAGCATTGTTGCCACCATTTGTCCTCATTGTACTCTACCTAGTGGCACCAATTAATGCTTTTTCTTATAATGAAAGGTTTATTAATTTAAGGATCATTGCATCGGGTCGACAAAACTTCTCAAAAACTCCATCGATCTTTGTATAGCACGATTATTCACGAAATCTAATAAAGTACGGAAACATGTATACCTAAGGGCATACTGTTAGTGCTGACAGTTATTTGCTAGCAGAGAAAAGCTAGCTGATTGATTTTTTATTAGCTAACCTATTAGTTGAGTCAAGTCAAGGTCCTTCATCTAGTAGTCAGTAGTATTTATCTTGGGAAAATCAGTTAATAATTTTTTATTACAGAGGATCCTTTTGAGCTAGCTATTAACTGGACTATTAGCTTGTGTGTTTGAATCCATTAGTGTTAATTTTAGCAGCTAACAGTTAGTGCTAATGGATCCAAGGTGGACATAATAGCTATCAATCAAAACACTAGATTGCCTTCCATGTACCCATCAAAACATAATCCTAACTACCTGTGCCAAATGTTGTGAAGCTGCCACAACCAAACGCTATGAAGCCGGCTTCTATATGATATATAGCCTATGTAAAGAGCCAGTGGATAACTGGGTACCAAGTGAATCCTCCTTAACCAAAGTGCCTGACACATATCGGTTGCCTCTATCAAGATGTACTTTTGGTTTTCATTGCATGGAAAGAATCTCTCATGATTATTGCACACATACATGGTGTCTGTCAACAGAAAAATGTTGGATTTATGACATAAAGTTATAAATCGTCAGTGACTAATTGTGGTGTGTGTGCATGGATGATGTTGTTCCATGAAAGAAATAACCAACTGCTTTTGTATTTTTCTGTTACATTTTTTATGCCAAAAGATTACACAACTATAGTAATATTCCACCAAAGAATGCCGACATGTAGCTAAAGCTGCTTCCATATATCAATCCAAGTACATACTGACCTAATCTGAGTGCAAACGGGATAACTTTTATTGTTTAGGAGAGATTAGAAAACACAGGAAAATAGTAAGAATGGACATGTTCCTACTTATTACCTTGCAAATTATTACCAGCATATGCTTATACTATAAATCATCTCTATCTATTATTTTCATGACTCTCTATTGCCGCATACATGCAGGTACCTCATTGTTATTGATGATATATGGGATACGAAACCATGGGAGATGATACGGTGTGCTCTACCTGAGAATGGCCTGAAAAGCGGAGTACTCACAACTACCCGTATAATTGATGTTGCAGAGCATGTTGGTGGTTGCTATAGGATGAAACTTCTTACTCAAGAGAGCTCTAAAATCTTATTCTATGGACGAATATTTGACTCTATAGACAAGTGTCCTCAACAATTTTCTGATGTATCTGACAAAGTTTTGAAGAAATGTGGAGGTGTTCCATTAGTTATTGTTACCATATCTAGCTTGCTGGCAAATAAGTCAAGAAATATAAATGAGTGGTACAATGTGTGTGATGCAATTGGTACCGGAATAGGAAAGAATCCCGGTATGGACGATATGAGGAAGATATTGCTGCTTAGCTATTATGATCTAACTCCTCAGCTGAAGACATGCTTATTGTATCTAAGTCTATTTCCTGAAGATTGTGAGGTTATAAAAGATAGGTTGATTTTGAGGTGGATAGCTGAAGGATTTGTCCAACAAGGAGATGTGAGGCAAAGCTTATTTGAGATTGGACAGAGTTACTTCAATGAGCTTCTAAACAGAAGCCTTATCCAGCCAGGAGACATCGATGAGGATGATATGTATCCTCTTGGTTGCCGGGTGCATGATATGGTTCTCGATCTCATTTGCTCTTTGTCAAGAGAAGAAAGTTTTGCTACCAGATTAACTGATGACTGCAACCAAATCACAACTTATTTGGAAAGCAAGGTTCGCAGGCTCTCCATCCATAATACTACTCGGCCTACAATGAACATGTCAAAATTGAGGTCACTTACTATCAACAATCCTGCTATAATTAATTCAATGCCACCCATGTCATGCTTTTACCTTCTGCGTGTATTGGATCTTGAAGACTGCAATCTTAAAGACCATCCAAGTCTAGATTTTGTCGGGAAATTATTTCACCTGAGGTATCTAAGTCTATTGAATCTCGGATATGTCAAGCGACCTCCCAAGAGAGATAGGGAAGCTACAGCTTTTTGCGGACATTGTGCTTCCATGAAACCGACATAAAAGAAGTGCCACCGAGTATCTTCGGCCGAGACAATTAATGTTCCTTCTTGTTTGGGGACACTACAAGGCTGCCAACAAGTGGGTTGAGAAATCTATCGCTCTCGAGCTGCTTGTGATGAACATGGATTCTCGCAAACATTGCGAAGAGCTAGGCCATCTGACGCAACTAAGGGTGCTATGGGTTATGCTCAGAAAGGACAAGGAAGGCAGATGGGATGAAAGCATGTGCAGAGTTCTGTTGGGGTCCCTTGGCAAACTACACAGAATCCAAACTCTAGGAGTACGAATCTCAGATGACGTGGAAGTTGATGTTGAAGGCTCAATCGACTCCCTGTGGAACCTATCTCGGCTTGTTATTTATGGAACCAGTCGGTTGCCGAAATGGATCGATCCCACATCATTTCTCCCCTATACTACCTGGACATAAAGGTGGGTCAAGTTAGAAGTGAGGACATCCAAGTCCTCGGCATGTCATGGGCTCTTCGTGTTCGAAGTGAAAGTGGTCAAGCGCAAAACAAGTGTTTGAAAGGTTCATGATTAGGGCGACGCTTTCTCATGTTTGACACGGTGCAAATTCTCCGGGTTTTCAACAATTGCCATCTATGTTCCCAACTGGAGCTATGCCCAAGCTTCAACGTTTTAAATTCTATATCCGACCGAGAGAATTTCGGCGACAGTGGATTGACTGTTGACGACCTGGCCTTAAGCCACCTTCTGTCCCTTCAGACTGTTCGGGTTCGCCTTGATGGAGAGGATACAGTCAGTGAAGAGCTAGCAATGAAAGTAAAAGAGGCGCTGAGGAACGAGGCTCGTGCCCACCCCAACCATCCTGATATTGATATCAGAATTGACGGCCAATGGATCCAGCTGTGCATGTACGTATTCCTATTCCTTCCTCTGCATGATTTAGATGGTTCTATAACTTTTCTAAGTGAACGCTTACTGTAGTCTGCCTAATAATCTCCTGCATGCTGCCATTAATACAATGACATCGATCGATGCCCCTAAATTCACCAACAACTTACCAGGAAAAATAACATATTTATCTCACCAGCTTATTCCAGTTTTATATGTCTCTAAGAATCCTTTACATTGTTATGCTTATAGTTTCCTTCTGATTCATTTGTTACTAGCACAACTGGTGATTGGACAATCTACTTTTGAACACTGTTTCTTCTTTGCACAGTTAGACTCCGGCTGGAACCTTGTTCCATTATCTAAAAAAATGTTAGACTCTGTCGTCATATTCAAAAATCAATGTGGCTGTCCTCTGATATAGAAATTCTGAGTTATTGGTAAATGATGAAAATCCTTTGTGGTGTACATGTACCAGGTAATGGATGGATGTACATTGGCTACGGCCTCAGGCACTGCCTACAGCAAGTACATCTGCGATATCTTGGCCAATGGCCCGTTGCTCACTGTCTCCACCTCATGTTTCCATTGCAGTTGATTAAGCAACAAGCTGTGCATTTTCCACTGTTCGCGATCCATCTTTGCTGTGCGATAGAGATCAATGACCATGCCTACACGCAAATTGTTCTCGTGTATTCAATCATGCTATCTGAATCTCTGTAGATCCACTTGGCTCACTCAAGATTCAGTTTACTTCTGCTCTTTAGACCTTCAGTAACACTTCTTCAGGGCTGCCGTTTCTAGTTTTTATCCGGTCTGTGTACTTACAAAGTTACAATTAAGTTTGTGCCGTATACTATGCTGTGCAAAATTAATGGAGGCACACTCATCATATGCTGTCATCATGGTTTTTTACTTTTTATTGCTGTCACCGTTTCCTGTACACATCATGCATGTTGCAGTTTGTTTGGTATGTTTGGATGACAGCTGATGAGCAGACGCACTGAGTATGTCGGCCACAGTGAGTCCGATCCCAATAAGCAACTAATCAAAACAACAGGTTGTTGCCACAGTGCTTAATCACTTGATTTAAATCTGCCACCATGGTCCGAAGAGCCGAGAGGCCACTTTTCTGTGCGAAATGATTCTAGTCGCCATGAAGAACCATTGGCGCAATAATGGTCAGATTGAGAAAAGATCCAGCCAAATTCAGAAACTTAAAAAAAACCTTGTAATATGATAAAGCTGCACGACACAAGTGAAAGAAGCACATGGTTGTCACGATACTGCTCAAGACACTAGTGCTGCCAAGATGAGCGTTGGGCCAAACCAAGATGATGGGCAGGGCCACAAGTTGGAGAAGCGATTGGGCCACAACAGAACACTAACGGCACTCACAAGCCCAATTTTGTTCTGCAGGTTTAGAATGGAGGAAGTAATCTAGGCCCCAACAAGGAAAAAGTCAATATGAACTCCATTAGAAAACTATATTTTAGACTCACTAAACATTTTAAACCATGGGATTTACCCACTACAACATGACTCGTTATACAAGGCATTAACAAATGCCTCCAAAATGATCAAAAAACGCCTTCAAAGACCTTTTGAGGCATTTATTAAAACGCCGCTAAAACATGGAAGTAAAAGGTCTTTTGAGGCGTTTTTCCAAAATGCATTTTAATATCAACTTTTAAAGGCATTTTCTGACTGCCTAGAATACTTTTTAGAGGCGCTTAGGAATTTGCCTTCAAACATCGATGGAGGCGTTATTAGAAATGCCTCCAAAACTAAGGTATTCATGCAACCCTTTCGACCAATATCAAATTAGCACACTAACAATGAGAGCACACATTAAAATTGGATGCATCCAAACTTTAAAATCTCTCGTACAGCCATAAGCTTTCATCTCCAAATATAAGTACAATTGTCAGGTTCTCGTTCCTGAATGACTATCCTCAGTCCTGTTGTTTAGGTTCAGTCCTAAATGACACAGGTTTGCTGCTCCCTTTAAGATAAATACTGACATGTTCACATCACAACTATATACACATATGTATAAGTATAAATCCAACTGAATAGATGTTGCCTCATTGCCATCCTTCCTGCTGTCCCCACTTACCTCATTGCCTCATTGCCATCCTTCCTGATCTCCAAATATCTGCTAACTCGATATAGAATCAGACCCACGTAAGAATCAGATTCACTGCTTGCAACCAAATAAACTTGTCCCAATAAGTATCACCAGGCTTTAGAACAAGTCATTAAAACACTAAGCTGAATAAATGTAGTAGAGCCGGACATGACAGAGTTACTCTACTTCAGCAAGATAACAAACATGGTACTATTGAATCAATTAAGATGACAGCATCATGGTACTATTGAATCTGGATTACAAACATGCCAAAACATTTAGAAATGTATATATAGACACAATCACATGTACCTGTAGACAAATCGAGCAGGGAAAACATGACAAATCTTCATTTGTCGAGTACATAACAAATAATTTTCCAATAATGAGAAGCAACAAGATGTTAACATTCTCTTTTGGAATCCCAGCATCATGCTCCTGTCAGCTGATTAAGCCACAAACAGGAAAACTAAATTATGCTCGTGATAGCTGCTTAAGCTGCCAACAGAAAAATTGCATCATCCAATCAACCAACATGAAAATAACATTACAAAGGCTAATCGCATATTCTAATTACTTCCTGACCTACTAAATCTAGAATTAAAGGCAAGGACACAGGTTTGTAGATTTTTTAATACTCAGACCAAAACGCATGGAGTTGAGCTTTGATGGGGAAATGTTGCATGCATGGAAATCGATTTCAGTGTGCAGGATACATGAGGCTGCAAGTCGGTTTAGTAAACAGCAAAAAAGGCAACACAAACCTAAGTGGAATTTCATCAAACATGTTACCTGCACAGATCTCTCCACAAACCCATCTCCATGACCAACCCGAGCAATCTGACGCGTGTCAAACATCTCTCCATAACATGCCTAACCACCGACACCCCTGCCTTCGCATCTATCCTTCTAGTATTCCATCTCTCTAGGGAGGGGATCAGGAACGACAACATGGAAGAGAAATCATGAATCAAGAGGTGCTGACCTTGGCAGTTGAGGTCTCGATGTAGATCGTGATCGATGGAGCGCAGAGGAGGTGGATCGGGGTTGGACAATGGCGTCGTCGTTGTTGTCCACGACGGGTGTGGACGTCAGCAACCGCCAAGCAGCCGCCCGACGCAGCCACGATGATGGAGGTAGCACTTGGTGGAGGAGCACTTGAAGAAACGACGAACCCGACGAACTCCAACAACGATCTCCCGGCGCTGCCCAACGCAGCCGCGCCGCCTCCCACCAACCACGCCGCCGCACCCCCCCTCCCAGCAACAGCGCCGCCGCACCACCTCCGCGCAACCGCGCCGCTGCAACGCCTCCCCGTAGCCGCGCGCCTCGCCGCAGCCGCACCTCCGTTCGCGCGCCGAAGCAGGAGGGCCACGCTGGAGACGCCGGAGCTGGCCGCCTCTCCCACACCCCGTCCTTCCCCGTGTGGCTGCTATTGCGGCGTGGGCAGCTTGCAACCCCGTGGGCCCGGAGAAACAATTTGCGTGGGCGGTGGGCAGGCCGTCCCTCCCGATCTCCAGTTTTTCTTTTGCTAATTAAAAATTTGTATTATAATTTTCCTTTGTGTTTTCTAGTGTCGTTTGCTTCTTCCGGTGGAGTAGCACAGTGAATCGAGTCTACAAGTTTTTTTACTCACAGCAGCACAGGACTTTGAAGGCGTTTGACAAAAAACGCCTCCAATTGCTATAGTCACTTAAGGCTTTTTTAATTTTGCCTTCAAAAAAATGTTTTTAGAGGCATTTTTTGAAGAGTGCCTTTATGTAACAAGAAATTAAAGCATTTCGAAAAAACGCCTTTAAAAAAATGCCTTCTATTAAGAGACATGCTGTAGTGACCTCCCAAGTGAATTTGAAAGCGGGTTTAACAGACATGGTGTCACTCTCAGGCTAAAACTGTATTAAAAATTATCCAGGGAGGTAAATCAAACAGCTTCATTTTTAAGATAATGGATTTTTAATAATCCAGCCTATATATCGACGAAGGATATGTACAACCAAAATGAGACAAGAGCATTTAGACTCACACTTCAATAAAGAGGAGAACACATATCCAAAAAAAAGGAAAAAAAACTATGACCTCGACACATCTTGCTTCCAGACATCCTCTCCTGAAACGGTCAAACTCGGTGGGTGGAAGTCGTCAAGCTACCGCCACCCCCAGTGCGCCATTGCTGCGAACTTCTGATGGTTGGTTCCATCTTCATCCGCTTCAAGTGAGATGACACCACATGCCATTGGTTAGCCAACTGACGAGAGTCAAACATTGGTGTATGTTAAGTCACAGGAAAGAATTCCTGACCGACGGTTCCCCCAACCGACCTCTCAACAACGTGGCTCGGGGAATATAACCATCGGGTACGCTCGCTCCCACTCTATAGTCGGAAGTTAGGTAGAGCCCCAACACACCCACGGCCACTGTTAGGGTTCACGGGCCCACCAGGG